CTGCTGAATAAGGAGCACACAAAAGTTGTATATATTAGACTTGGTGCACAGATTCGTGTATTATCAAGATGTCTCTGCTGTTATTCCCAGACACTTGAAATCACTGTATCCTACCAGATGTCCTCAATTTTATTTGCCTGTCAGTACACCACAAATTAGGATTTTGCCCTACTGTCACAGTGACCTTGACTTTCCCCAGTACTGAAAACTCTTTTATAATCTTTCTGTAATCTAGATTGGGAATTCTGCTGTTTAGAATGACATGTATCATTTCCATTTGTATAATGTCTTGAAGCAGAGTATACCTTTAAGCGTATTTGCTTACAACAATTAAGGATTCCTATGAATATTCTGCATATACTGTTTCTTAAACACACACTATCCATTCCTGATGACAAAACTGAGTGAGATTTTTTGAATTATGAGGCTATAAAAAAAAGATATGCAGATTTTTGTCTCTCTAACCTGAGCTAAAGGTTCTACTATAGTATACTTACTGTGATCTGACACCAAACACAGTGAAGTCCAGTCAAGCCTTGGTAACATTTTATAGTTTTGTGACACTTATCACATTTTGTTGGACAATTTCCTTCTACCCAGAAATGGTGCATTACCTGCAAAAGAAAAGTGTGGATAGACATAGAGTTACTAAATTAACAGATACATGGCAAAATTAGTGCTACCCCAAACTTACATCAGTATTCTTTTTGGACTTCACATATGTTTTGATGCAAGATGCGGGAGCTCTTGAGACACAGCGTTCATGGACTGTATACTTGCAAACTGAAAAAAGAAACACATTAATAGATGTTGAGGCAGTGGCATTTCTGAGTTCATTTTTATGAAACAAATAACGCTAGCAGCATGCCATTTCTATATAATCAATCCAATCAGTCAATGAAAACTCAAACTAGACTGCTTTTTCCATGGAATACAAAAGGCCAATTAGAACAGGAAATATTATGCAAGTGAGAAATCCAAGAATACACTATCATTGCATAACAGGAAATGCTTAATTAAATCAGAGCTCACTAAATTTTTTCACAATAATTCCCAAATGACAAAAATATTAAAGACAAATTGATGACTGCCAAATGGTTTGGTGTCATTTGCTAGTAGAAAGAAATCTATATTTTACAAAATATAGGCATGAGAGCAGCTGGCAAGCACAAAAATAAAAGCCAATGAATTTATGTTGCTCCTTCTATTGATTTATAAATCTTAAATGGCTGATTAGTCCATTTTCAGATAGCAATTGTTTCATGCATTCCATGTAATCACCCCAACTTTAACTCCTACTTTCCCAAATACCAACTCCTAAGAGGGTTTGTTTTCCTAACACCTCCACACCAGTTTTAGGTAACTACTATTGTTGACCAGGTCTGTAAAGATCAGACTAGCTGTATTTGGAAAACACAAATGTCAGGGTACAATGCAAAGCTCTCCTGACTTCAACTATACAACTGTGCCCAGATGAGGAAATAATGCTACAGCTTATACCTGCATTCAACAGAGTCAACTATTAAAAACTGAGAATGAATTTCTCCCTGCATGGTATATGTCTCATGCTTTTGACCTCGAGAGCAATTAAGCACAAAGTACTTCTAAACACCTTGCTTGCACCTATTACACAAACCCAGTGGGAGGCGCAGCCATTAATCAGACAAACTGCAGGGAGTAACATTGTTGATTGGACCATGGAGGGATGGTGAGGCCCCCTGCAGTTTCCTTTTTCTTTTTTTTCCTCCCACACAATCTAAAATGCAAATAATGAAATCTATAGCAACGCTTGGAAAATATATTGGAGAAGAAGCTTTAGCAAGATAAGGAAACAGCGTAATAGTTTTGTAAGTAGAATTGTGCCCCTTGCTGCATGAAGTGACTGAAAGGATCATGTGGATGTTCTTCAGATACACTGGGACCATTGTTCTCACCAAATACATGCCAAGCACAATAACAAATAAATTTTAAAGAGGTACATTGCAGCAGAGAAAATTACAGCTCTGGTAAGGCTGGTCTTTTTGGGACAGTTTACTTTATATAACTCATCTACGCATTTCTGGTAACTACTGAAGATGATGATCTACATTATTTGCTCAACAGAATTTTTTCTTTCAAACATACATGGGTCTTACATTTCCTCACAAGGATTAAGTTTACATCAGTCTGACATAAAAGAATATTAAAGAATGCAATATTTCAAGATCTAATAGTCAATTCAGCGTTTTATATATATATTCCAGTTACTGTCATCAGCATTTATTAATCTGGAGTTATGCAATTTCCATTTGTTTGAATTTTAATACATGTATCTCTCTCATTCCATAGTATTGTGAATGAAATTATATGATGTGAAAATGCATACATGGAGGATTTACATCTGAATTACATTTTAAAGAGATCTGTGGCCCACAGAAGAGAGAGAAATGGTCGATTCCAAACCCCTCATTCATTCAAACTAATCTCAAATTAAATCAATAGAACTGTACAGGCAGAAAGGTCCTGATCAGCTGTGATGGGCTATCTTTCATACCAAAAATGAAGAAAGTAAGTTACACTAAGAAACTGATTAATTTATCAAAAAGCACAGTGAAAGGTGACTTGATACCATCATGAGGAGAATACAGTGGGTACTAAAGATCTCATTAATCTAATGGAGCAGGGCATAACACGAACCAATCATTGGAACAGTCTACCAGACATATTCAAATCAGAAAATAGGTTTTAAAAAAAGATGATTAATCAGTGGAACACACCACAAAAGAAAGATATGGATCATCCATCTCTTGAAACAGTCAAACAGAGTCGAGGTATCTTTTGGCAAGATTTGGTTTCTCAAGATACAGGTTATGAGCTGGTCAGACACAAATTATTAGGAGATACATAGACACAACTCAAGGAATTGAACTGTAGTAACTGCATCTAATAGTCTAATGAAGGTCAGATTAGATGCAGTAGTTTTTCTGTATTCCTTTACCATAAAATCTATATACTCAGTTAATATGTGAAAGAATGGCAAGACTGAGATTTATGACTACAAACCAAGTAAACACAAAACTTTAGAAGTGTTACAGAAACTTCATTTCTGAGAAACTGGGATTTTGACCTTCACAATTAACAGAACAAGAATTCTGTGCAAAATTTGAATAAACAAATACGGGACTTAGATGCTAGTCAAGTTGATAACTATTAAAGAACATTAATAATTATTAATACAAAAGAGGAATAACAAAAATAAAAGGTTGAAACTTCAGCATGATACTTGCTAAGAGAAAACAAAACAAAACAAAAAAAGAAAACCCAAAAAAAGAGGTAGACTCCAAAGGGAACTAACACTGAGAGCTATTATAATACAGAAAACTCCCTCTTTGAAAACCCAATATCCTGAAAAATTAAAAATGGGACCTTGAGCACTCAAGCATAGAAGACAAAGGGGGAAGATACCATTATGCTGGAAATGGTTTTGTACTGGGAAACTACTAGTTCTTTGTTATGCAGCGAGCGCAACATTTCTAGGAATATACATGTATGCAAATGGCCACTGAAATGCTTATACTCACAAGAACAGCAGAGACCTTGCTTGCCTACTCCGATTAGCATGTTCAAACAAAGATTACAGTAGGCAGGCTTGTTAAAGTGTTTCAGTCTCCATACATGCTGCCCATCATCTTTCACATTCTGCACAGGACATAAAAGAAACAGATTTCACTTAATAAAATAAACAATGAAATATATAAGTGCCAATAAAAATTGGAGATTGACTCAAGAACGTAAAAGACAAGCTGTTACTTTGTTTAATACCCTGCACCAGATCACAGTATAATCATTCTAAATACACAGGCAATGATATAATAAAAAATTCTTCAGAAGCTCATGGACATCCATGTGTTTCAAAAACAACTCAGAAAAAACACCAGGCTGCTGTCACCACTGCAACACAATGCTAGCAATAAATCTAGGCTAATATTAATTTACAATTAGTATTAAAACTAACTAAAATTTGTTCTAGACTAATTCTAAAAATAGAAGTGCTTCAGGTTAGAAGGTAAAACTCCCCAAAATGAACAACAGAGAGGATTTCTTAAAACTACAGTGATATTCTTAATGACCCTTAAAATTAGGGACATGTATCAACATACGTGAAGTGGGAAATCTAACCACACCACAATAATACCCATTGTCAGCTTTAATTTATGTTAATCTACCGCCGATAGTATAACAAAAAGCAAGTATTTGAGGGTGAGATTTACATCCTGGACCTCTTCTCCAAAAATTGAATTCCTTACATTTACGCCCACATTTTTCAGTTAGCTGTAGCACTATACTCAAATCCTGCATGAATAGACTGATAAACTGATCAGCACTTACAACTCAGGAGACCGCTACAACTTACGTGTACAACTAAAATATTATCAAATCATTCACATTTACAAAAGTAAGCTTTCAGCTGCACGATTCTCCTCTTCCTTCTTAATGGAATTATTCTGAGACCTCACTGTTATTAGAGATTTTTAAAATTATGCACACTTGGTACAGATGTTAAATTAATTCTGTAAATTTCAGGTTTCTTGGCAAGTGTGGCCATCAGACTTTTTCCTTTTTGCAATCATCAGAAGTTTTGAGTTTGAAAAAACTAGATTAACCTAATGCAATATCACTTGATTTTTTTATTTTATTTATTTTTTACCAAATGTAACCTCCAACAGAACAAAGACAGTTAATGTCTATCAGCTGGAAATGGGCTGCAGTGGTTTGATTCTTCATTGTGTATTACTGAAACACTATAGTCTTCTCGGTCATTTCATTACCAAAAAGAAATTGTCACATAGCTAAAGGAAGCTACATCAACCTCTGGTTCTCAGAAGCCACATCAACAACTGGTTCTCATCCAGTTTCTGATTTCTCATATCAAACTACTACTATCACTTGTCATCATGTATATTCAATATTCCTGACTAGATCTGCAATAATATGATGGTTTTCACTGATAAGGACAGTTAATGTAAGTCAGTGGACATAAATTTCAGTTTTGTCCTATATTAACATATACTGTATGAGTTATGTCCGTAAAAATCAGTACTGCCCTATTCTAAGAGTTAGCCATTAATGACAAGTCAAAGATGAGGAAGACTTCTTCATCCTTGGGTGGGAGGAAAAAAATCCTGAAGGAAAATCAGCACTCCAAGAAATTAAGAATGTTTGGTTCAAAGCCAGGTCCTAGCCAGAACACAACTTTGAATAATTCCTACAAATTACCTAGAAACAAAAGGAACTGAAGTCAGCTGGAATATTTTTTTCTCTGTTGAGATATCAGGATCAGAGCCTAAGTGGAGTTCCCCCGATATTATCGGCAGGAGTTCAAATGCCATCTCTGACAGCTGGGCAATGTCAGGGTCCCCTTTCTGCAGAAAGAGCAGAGCAGATGCCTAATGTGGGATTCTCAGGCTGGCAGAGTGTGGAAGTTTTCCAATTTCCCCTGAAGAAGCAGAAATAGATTCTGCAGCTGTGGAGCACTAGAAGCTTGTCAAGCTCCTTCATGACTGGCAGCTGAAGAGGATGTATTTCATTAAACGGAGCTCTGTAACTTCTATTTTTCTTTCCATCTTACTACCACATTCCACACATTTTTAAAGTATTGTTAAACTACAATATAGTATGTGAGTTTCAAGTCTTCTGAAACTAGACAGTTATTCACTAGATAATAAAGACCATGTAAATCCTTCTGAGAAAAAAACAGTAAACAATGTACACTTTCATTTTAACATTACTCAGGTTGCAAGAGATACAGTCATAAACCACAAGCACTTGAAATGCAAGCTGACCAGCTTTTCTTAGCAAAATACTTGCTATTTCTGAAAATTAACAAAAATTCATAATTATGCATAAACTTGCCTCTCTTCCACATTAGTTCTGTGTTACTTTTTCATTTTAATTTTATTTTTAAAGAATGGCCATTACATGTGAATATGTCGCTTCTTATTTGAACAGAACATATGGACTAACTTAGCTGGCATTTTCCTTATCAGAAAAACAAACAAGTCTTGATGTGGGTGTTCTGCCAATTAAAACACTTAACTGTGTTACAGACTGCAACTGATGCAAATCCATTACATAAACACAATGCACTTTTGGAAAATAGCAAATTAAATTTTTGCTCTTGTGCACTGCCAAAAATAAGCAATAAAGTGCTGCATATGATTATGCATGCACATAACTTTTTAAAACATTGCCAAGAAAAAAAAAAGGCATAATGTGAAACAAAGCCCCCTCAATGCAAGTCTTTAAGTATGAATAAAATCCACAATTCTGACACATCAGTGCGTTTACTGACATTCACTCATTTTGCTTCCATATCCTGAGAAAGAGTTTAAAAACAAATAGTCATTAAGAAGATCTCAAAGCAGGGCAGGTACAGTAAAAATCTCTTCCTCACTTCAATATACATCACTGAAAATGAAGCCTCCATATGCCATACGCAGACTTTAGTACATAATGACAATAGTAACATTTATTTTGTTAACAACGGTTATGTTAACTTATGGTCCTGACCCTTCTACCATGGATTCAATTGCCAAAAGGACCTGACCTTAAAAAGCAAGTCAACCATGAAAAAGCCAGCCTTAGAATTAGTGGAAAATTTTATGCAGTCACAGAATTTAGCTACACATCCCTAATCTGGTTTATTATTAACTTACTTCAGTTTTTTAGGTATTTGTAAATAAGGTAGCCAAAGAGATCTTCAGGTTACAGGCACAAAACTCAAGATTCTGAGAGTTAAAACAGGTAATGAAATCACTGATAAATTTTCATCCTAGCAAGTATCCCCTCTTACAATAGCTAGAGTGTCTTACCAGCATGCTCAGTCTTTTCTATGAGAAGAGTCGATAACAAGCAACCAAGGGAGAAGGATGTTAGTGACTCTGCTAAGTTATTCTTTCACTGCCTACTGCTATTTTGTTTTCATTTATTGTAAAAATATTTACATGACTTTAAGACATTTTTATGACTGATCTTTGGGTATTGTTCAGTCAGTGGGAAGGTGAGAAGGGTGTCCATTAAACCACGCAGCACCTCTTTTTAACACAAATGCATTTAAGTTCTATATTCCTTTGGTTGCTCTCAGCAAAGAATTCATGTCAGGTTCTGTTTTGTTTAATTTGGTGTGGGGAGAGGGGGTTCTAAGTCTGTTCTGGTTCAACTGGAGAGGAAGTAACCTCATTCAAGACACATGCTATTTGGAAGGGCTCCTCGCTTCTAACTTCTAAGATATTTTGTGTGTGTGTGTCTGTGTGTGCTGGAGAAAGGGGCGGTGGGGGGTGGGGGGGAAATCACTTCCCCAGCCTTCATCCACACACTCACCAGTGTACTATCCTGATCATCCATAAAAGCTTAAGCATTAATATGCACATGAGAAAATGACAGCATAGAAAAGGGAGCACAGGAGAGCAAATTAATTTGTTTAAGCAAGCTTCATAATTAGCCACACTACGAAGTTTCCCTGTCCCCAAATTGGTAGTCATGTGTCGTCCGCAGAGACTGAAATGCTGCAGAAATTACATTTTAAATAATGGTAAATTTGTATACCTGCATGAAATACCATTTATTTTACACCTTATACACAGAACAGGTTAGAGTTACTCCTGACTTCTCCTGGGCTTTTACCAACCTACAGGCAAAAGTAAAAGCAGGACTGTAGTAAGGAAAGGCATTTGCAAACTTCCTGCAAAGAAGTGGGAGCTAGCACAGCACAGAAGTAGACAGCACTGTCAAGAAAAGAGATGTGCTCTTTTTTAGCAGCTCCTGCTATGAAGCCTCACAAAGCATTAACATTACCCCCTCTGCTGGCAATGCCGTGAAATGATACTGGTAAAACAGCTCCCGTTATTACTTAGGGTGAATCTGCTTCCCAGCTGGCAAGAGGCTGGCACAAAGAGCTAAGCTACCGTTCCTTCTAGCAGGGGCTTGGTTTTGCCCTCTGTACATATGGAAATAGCATATGGCTCATCAGCACCTCAGCCTTTTAGGAAACTCACCTGCCAGACTTCAGACAGGACTTACAAAAATATCCCTGGGGTCAATAAAAGGCCACATCGCCTTCATTCCTCGCTGAATGAAAGAAATACAACTCTACGAAACTGCCCAGGTATTAAACAGTCATTTCAGACTTCAGTCTGAGAGGGACTCCTCAGGGTGCAACAGATCCCACACCAGGCTTGCAAAGGTTTGCAAGTCCCCAGTTTGTTCCACTTTCACATAGTCAGAGCTCAAAAAGTAAGCCAACAATAATGTAACATTCAACGTAAGGAGCAGTATTTCCCAAGCATGGATTCATACTCGAGTATCCATCCCATATTTAATCAAAAAGGCTAAAGAAGAGTTACCTTTTAAATTCTTTGAGTGTCATAGCATAATATTTGCTGCTTGAGGATCCAAAATAAAACTGTAAGAGTACTTTCTTCTGATTTAATTGAAGCATAGTCACACTCCAACACAAACGTGTTTGTCCCACTGAGATTTACCTTAATTTAAAAGGTGAAATGGGTTGAAAATTACAACTGGTGACTTAAAAGAAAGGCATAGTGGCCTGGTTTCAGATTATTGATGACTTTACGAAGCATTTACTGTTGTTCAATTCCTCTCCCTCCTTAGGGCAGCTTTTCAGCAACTGTACAGTACCA